GAACCCTCCATTTTTATTTACTTTTGGTTCGATCACATATTCTAATTTTTTCTCGTTCGAAACCAAAATGATGGTTAAGGATAATCACTACTTGTTATGCCATAAAACTACACACTAAATTGCTACCAAAGTTTCCAACTGCATGGAGAACGAAATGAATACATGGGGTGTATTTGAGGAGGAGCTATTGGGCTATCAATGACTGAATTCAATTCATACCTTAACTTGAAACAACTGCTGCCAAGTATAAATTTTCTCTTCAAGTCTCTTTTGCTCTCAAAGAAAATTCTTCTGCAGAGATTGGATTTACCACAAGTTACAACACAAGTGCAAATTTTTGCCCAATACCTAGGTGATTATCATCATGATTCAATTTCTAACAAGCATTAATACAAATGCCAAAGTAGGAACCTGTCATCATGCGTAATGTCATGGCGCCTGCTACGAGATTACAAAAGATTACAGGTCATTCATTTACTTCATTTTAGTTACACCCTCAAATGCCCAACAAAAGTCTTGACCAACAAAGAGAGACAAGATGTGGTCGTTACTTGCATCCTTGATCCAACAAAAGAGAGAACGAGACTGCTACTCTACCACCATCTCAACTTCCTTGAACCTTTGTGCAGGCCCTTACCTGCAAGCGGTGCAAATCCAGGGCAAAACCTTGATTTCTCAGGATAAGAACTTACTGAAAGGGACAGTAGAACTCAGTATTCAAAGACAGAATTAGGCAAACCTTCTTTATGGGTCTGAAAAGCCTGAACATGGAGAACTTTCCTCCCCTATTGAAGCTATTACAAGTTGAATGCCAAACAACTTGAAGCCATTCTCCGAGCCATGTTTCCGGTCACTAGAAATTATCTTAACGACTGGGGAAATGGACTCGACTACACCCTCCAATTGTTTAGGCCAAGAAATCGATGATTTGGTAGTAACTGCAAATGATGGAAGTGAAGCCAGCTGAGTTAGTCGACATTTTTGAAGAAGTGAATGGTATAAGGATCCACATGAATCAAGATGTTTGTGACTAGATGGTTCAATAGGTGTCTTCGAAATGCCTAACATATTAAGGTGAAAACCACAAAAGTAATTGACACTAGCTAGCCAATTCAACATAAATGAGAAAGTAAAAATAAGGAAATGACCAACCAAGGGCCTTAAGGTCGGGAGTCAATGAAGGCAAATATGATGGTCGTGACCGCTTGTTGGTCCAATTTGTAGGCCGAGTATTTGAAGGAGCAGCTGCAACAATTGGCTCCACTTCCCAAAAAGACACTCGATCTGGAAGCGAAATAATGTAGTTTGGCGTTTTTTGTTATTTAAGATGATCATTTTATGAGGAGAAGAGAGATGTAACCCAAATCTAGATAGCTAAAGGATTATATCTTTTCAAATAAACAATGCAAGACATCAGGGCAATTCAATCCAATCCAAAATTCTTAACAGATGAATACTTCTGAAAGAGACAGAGCACCCAATAGCAACAAAGCAAGAATAAGGATGAGTATAGGAAGAACTAATCTCATAGAGCTTATAGAATCTGCATCAAGCAGTTTAGCAAAAATATTCTCAATCCTCCAGCCTATTATCTACTTCCATGGGCAATAAGATAATCTTCGTACATGCACGTACCATAAACATCATGTGAATTAAAGAAACCAGAGTGCGACTCACCAGTTCTTAAGCACTCAGGATGGCGGGGAGACTTCTTTTATGGTGCAGGTCTTTCACCTTGACTGAGGTCCACGACTCCTTCGGGCCAAAGCAAGATAGCCCCAATTCTCATTGCAACCTCCATCCAAAAAAAAAAAATTAGAAAAAGGAAAAGTTAGATTCGAAAACATATGAAACCAGACATTTAAGATTAACCTTATAAAAGAAAACTGCACCACTAAGAACATGATACCCTTCCTTCGTCAGTGCAAGAATCTTGATACAGAGGTACACTGAACATCATTTTCGCAGATTCCTGTCTATCTCTCTTATAAAACCAAACAGGAAATAGCGTCCAAGCCTCCGAGAAATAAATTGCTTCCAAGGATTCAAACTGAAGAGGGCTATTAACGAACATGGAACCAACAGTAACACAGTGCTCACAAACACCATTAGTTGTAAACTCGGCCAAATGGAATCTCTAGTGACCACCATACGATATCCCAGAAGTTCGCAATGGGCGGTCATCACATGTAAGGCAATTATTGCATACACTTTGGACCTGACACAATAGAAGAAACCTCATTCTAAGATGACTGAGATAGATATCATTACAGCAGGGAAAACCAAAAGAATATTTAGTTTTTTATAGCATTAAGAGTAGGAAGACAAACAATGGTTATGATGTAAGATATTTCTTATGCAATCAAGTTTAATTATAGCAAACAAAACCCAAAACAACGTTGAACATCGTAGCCTAAAAGTTGTGGTGGACTAAAGGGATTTGACCGGATACCATTGACATTAAAATGTTGGAAAAATACAATATAACTCTTTCAAGTGCAACGCACGCAAAATGGATATATAATAGGGGGGGGGGGGGGGGACATGCAGAAACTGCTGCAAAAACTTCAATTCTAAAGCCTGTTCCAAACCTTGAATCGTCGGAACTGAAAGGCAACATCACTCAAACCATGTTGGGAATTTTTCTTGGAATAGGCTGGACCATGATTTTGGCCTACTAAACTAAAAAGGCTTGCAGGCCAAACAATTAATGGGATTTTCTAGGAGCAACTTGTTCTTCAGATCAATAAGTTTGCAGAGTCGATACATATATTTGAGTTGAAACACCTAAGTTAGGTTGGATCAAGTTAAAAATATCCCAGTTGACAGTTATGAAAATTAATAAAGGGTATAATAGAAGACAGTAAAAGAATGCCAAATAGAGAGGCAGATCCTAGACTTACCTCTGTGATTGCACCCAGTGCCAATCCCGTGGAATTCGATGATTGACTGTCTGAATTTCATCATCTAAAATTCATGTGAATCGTGGTAACTCCATAAATCTGCATGAAAACAAAAGTAGAACAGCTCAAAGACAAAAACCGCTGCCGCTAAGTCAACTCTCATGCGCCGGCTAGTCTGTGATGAGATGAGACTAGACAAAGAAACGACCAAAATGGAATGGGGCTTCTTTCTATTCGAGCTATCTGCTAACTGCTCATATTTTATATCCACTTTCTTATTTCACTTTATGAGCAAATTCATGTGAATAATCACATTTCTAGCGAATTGTGTTGATTCTAGAAGATTGAGTCAAGCCAAAATACCAATTTTTTACAACATTCTCTGCTCAAGGAGTATGCATTTCTGAATCCTCACCTCCACTTAGCATACTTCACCATACCTCCTTGTGTCCAATAGCCCAATTCCATAACCAGGTGGACTAGAAATCAAGACCAACACATTATCTGCATACATTTAAACCAACACATCTTCAATTAGAAATGACAATGAAGGAGGAAGCTTTTAGAAGAGGCAGTAGCTATGTTGCAGACATAACACATGTATTTCCGTATTCTGATCAGACCTAAAGCTGTACACCTCTTCATCCCCCAATGGCTTGAATCCTACGAGGACATTCAATTTGAGTTCACATAAACAAATTAATGAAACTGCAGAAAGAGAATGAAGCTGAGTCCTCGCATAGGGAAAGTATAGAAGGAAAATGGTGTCCTTACCAGGCTTTCCCCGGATAATATGTTGCTTCCAACAGGCTCCGCACCAATTATTCAATGCACTCCAATGATAACAGGAACAATTAAGAAAACATTCAGCTAATTTTTATCACACAATTCGAGTGAATCAACATTGTCATTTCAAATGAAAACTAAGTACAACCCAATGTTCATCGGAAAATGAAAAGTCAAATTGAAAAGTAGAACTTCCAAAGTCTATGCTTCATCTTCCGACATGACACTCGTTGTAGCAGCGACACCAGGATCTACATACTCAAATGCTACAGGATGTAAATCATTGCGAACCCAATTTTCATCTTCACTAGCTCGACCAGCGTTTTCCACCGAGAGTGATTGATCTGCATTTTTCGATTGATAAACTAATTCATCACCCAATTCATATGTGTCTCTAGGCTTTGTTCGAAGTGCCACATACCAATCAGGTTCCTGTGAATCTTTAATGTAAATACAGGCCTAACTTGATCTGCAAAGACAAAAGGCTCATCACGTATATTAGACCCTGTGTGAATCAATCTTGAAAAATTCACCATAGTATATCCGTATGCATCTTTTTTCAACCCTCTTCCACGTTCCACGTCAACCCATTCACACTTAAATAGAGCTACTCTGAACCTTTCGAAGTAGTTCAACTCAATCATGTCAATTATCCGTCCATAATTTAAAATTTCACCTTCTAAACTTGAGGTCTTTGTTGCTACAACAACGCCACTGTTTTGAGTTTTTCTTTCCTCTTCACGACAGTTTGCATGATATCTGACTCCCTTGGTGATGTAACCTTTAAATTGTCTAACCCCATAGTTCGGACCTCGGGCTAGCCCTTTCAGTTCAGCAGTAAATCGCGGATCATGCATCTCCTCTAGCCTAGCTACCTATATACTCACAGCAAAAAAAAGGGAAATCAACAGCTACTAATTATGTTGGTATATCGAAAGGAATGTCAAACCTAATTGACGACATCGTATTACAGCGTACATGATAGAAGAAAAGTGAAAATAAAAATTATGTAACTTTTTATTTAGGCAATGCTATATCTAGCTAAGTTCATAAGGACACAATCAAACGAAAGAAGGCACTCACCGTCCTTTGAACCAATCAACAAAGGTGGAATGGTGGACTTTCTCGATTTCAATTAGACGAGAAGCATTATTTCTACGATTTCTGCTTGAAAGTTTCCTTTTAATCTCATCCTTATGCTCTCTGTCAATCCGATAAGCAAATATTATAATGAATTTCTAGTTAGTAATAAAAGGAAATTAAGACTAGCTAATAGGAGAAAAGGAGAACATACTCTATGTGAGGCATTTTAGTGTGCTTTATAGTATTGGTACTATAAAATATTTACAGCCATTAGATCATGTTCAAACTATATCAACCATTAGATTTTATTTAAATTATTAAATTATTATTTTATTTGTGTGTGATAACCGGTACAACCGGTTGTCTGAAACCAATTGAGACAAACACTATCTTCCTTGGAAAACCATTCTTCTCACCGCCGAAACCCTTCTTCCTTCGATCCTCTTCCTTCCTTCGATCCTCTCCACGCAGCTAGCGAGCAGTGAAGACGACGAGCAGTGGGTGACGACGAGTGAAGACGGCGAGCAGTGGGTGACGACGAGTGAAGACGGCGAGCAGTGGGTGACGACGAGTAGAAGGCGGCAGTGAAGGCGGCGATTCGGATTCCAGATTCCGACGACGACAGTGAAGGCGGCGAGCAAGGGACGACGAGAGCGAGCATCTCTTCGTCGATTGCAAACGAAGACCCTCTTCCCATCGATAGCTAACGAAGACTCTGCACAAAACCCCTCTTCCCATCGATAGCAAACGAAGACCGCTGACCTACCTCCTCCACCGCAACTTTTTTCGGTTAGTACTATCTTCTTTGTGTTTAGCTTGATAATTAGCTGCAATGGCGGTTCCTGTTGTTCCTTCACTTGTTTTGAAGGAGAATTTGCAGCATTTACCTTCTCTTCACCTTGTTTTTGCTGTTGAGGTTGTGCTTGATTTGTCTCCGTTTCAGCAACATCCTTAGCAGGCTCTTGTTGTTGTTGTTGTTGTTCCTCAATCTTCTTCTGTTGAGGAGGAGCATTGGGTTCTTCTGTTGTTAGGGTAGAAGAATTCGAGTCTGAAGAATTCACAGCAGTTGTGGTTGTTGTTGTTGTGGTTGCGGTTGTGGTTGTTGATGATGCTTCCTTTGGTGAGGAAGCTTTGGATGGATGTTGTTGTTGTAGTTCTTCCATTCTTCGTGGGAGGATTGATATGATATGATATGGTAGATAGAAAGGCCGTGTTCACTGAGAAAGTTGGGAATTTTTCTCTGTTTAGCCAATTGATGAATGTAGTTAAGTTTGAAAACCATGATTTGTTTGATTGATTTAAGTCTCTTTGCTATGGTTAGTGGCTCCAAGCATGCGATTAACCAACAGAAATGGGTGCTTATCTTAACTGTTCACTTCATAGTATGAGTTTTCTGTTTGTGGAGTTATCGGATGTATCCGAAGGGACTGTATGTGGAGTTAGAATTGTGTATATAATGTAGAAAAGAAGTTTAGTGCAGTGGGTAAAAGAGCTTCCATGAATGATGAGACATTAAGGTCAAACTTAGTTAGGATATTTAGAGCATGGTTGTGGCTGATCGATATGCAAATACAGGAGGTCTGTTGGCCTTAGAATATACGGCAGCTTGGGAGTTACTCCCAGTTTTATTCTTTATTGTACATTCCGTGCCTCGATCTCATTTTGTATTGTTCATTTCGTTGTTGCCTTTGCTTTCAAACTGAAGAGAATAACTGTGCTGGGGTTGTTCTGCTTGCTTCTTTAGTTCTTTGGTCTTGATTGGGTTTTATGGATGTAAGGAATGGGTTTTTGATTGGAGAGACTTGATTTGTGTTTTATGGAGGCAAATCGAATAGGAAAGTTCATACTCAGTTTGATTATTTTCAGTTTGTAGTGTCGTTACCGTTGCTTGTTGATTACATTTTGGACTGTTAATTGAAGGGTCTTGCTTGGCTGCATGAAAGGTGCAATTGAGTGTGTTAGTCAAGAACTATTTCATGAAATCAGGGTGACTTCAGTTTTAGCCAGTTTGGATGGAAATAGAGCGAGTGTTTATGGTGGTGTCATGGGTTATGGAAAGCTTAGTGGCTATGCTCGTGGTCATGTTATTTAGCTCTCAAAAGTTGTAAGTTGTGTGTGGTTTCTGGAAATATCACGGCTGTGAGAGAGACCGTGGATGTAATTCTGGAAATATCACGGCTATGAGATAGGCCGTGAGATAGACCGTGTATGTAAAAACACACTTCTCAGTTTCCCAGAGGTTTTCACGGGTTGCCTTCGACAGTGTCACGGCCGTGAGATGAGCCGTGTTTTTGGATATGGATGATGGGCATCTCACGGCCCCATTGTTAATTCTACGGGCCCCTTTGTAAATTCTCACGGGCCCCTTTGTAAATTATCACGGTCCCCTTTGTAAATTATCACGGGCCCCTTTGTAAATTCTCACGGCCCCTTTGTAAATTCTCACGGGCCCCTTTGTAATTCTCACGGCCCCTTAGTAAATTCTCACGGCCCCTTCAGTAAATTATCACGGGCCCCTTTGTAAATTCTCACGGCCCCTTTGTAAATTCTCACGGCCGTGAGAATAAGCCGTGTGATTGTCTGGAGATTGTCTGGAGATATGCAAACTTCTCTTTGCTTCTCACGGGTCATGTCACGGCCGTGAGATTTTGCATTTTGGGTGAAAATTAATGAAAGCTGGGTGTTTTCATGGTTAATTAGTGTACTCAGGTGTTGATGTAGGGGATTTTCAGTTCTTCTGGTAGTTAGAACTTGTATTTTGTTTGTACTCTTCGGCATGCTTATAATTCGTGTTTCAAGGCATGCTTATAATTTTTCTGTTGTTTTAATTTTGCAGTTTGCTAAAATTGTTCTATAATGAAGACGAAGAGGCATCAAATTTTCAGCACGCGATGTTCTCCTAGGAAAGTATTCTCAGTAGTCTCAAATTTAGAGGCTTGTCAATCAGAGGCCATTAGGAGATGTGGCTTTGGTCGTATTCTTGAAGTCAAAGCAAGAAAGCTACAACGTGAGTTGTTGGAGAAACTTGTGAAGAGCTTTAATCTGGAAGAAAGCACAATTAAGGCGTATGGGTTGGAAGTGCATATTTCGGCCAAAGATTTCGAGCGAATTATGGGTGTGCCTGAGGGAGGTACTGATATCATCTTGAATGGTGAAGAAGTGGAGGGAAGATCAGAGGAACTGGAACCATTTAGAGTGTTTTCGACACGTGATTGTGGCCGACAGGCGATTTCCACAAGCTTAATGCAGAAGGAGTTGTCGAAGATGAAAGATAGCGACGATCTATTTCTTCAAATGTTTATTTTGTACGTAATGGGGGTGCTATTAGTACCAACTAGAAGAGAGGACATTTCCTTGTCTTCGGTATACGCTGTCACCGATGTTGCAGACATTCCGAAGAAGAATTGGGCATCCTTTTGCTTCAATGAATTGGTCAAATGCATCTGCGACCATAATGCTTCTAAAAGAGAGTATATACCGGGTTGCTTGCTGTTTTTGGAGGTAAATAATTGTTAATCCCGACTTTCTACATATTTGTAATGATTAATCATCATGTTGATTATAGTATTTTTTTTTGTAGTTAATATTCTTGGAGCATGCAAATGGTATTTTCCAAACCGTTGATGGGAGTTTGGATTTGATGAGTTGGGGGAGCGGAGACGTGGAGTTATTGTTAACAAAAGTGGTAAGATTGATAGTATATTTGATTCTTTTGACAAGTTGGAGCATGCTAATGGTACATTTGGTTCCCTTTTTAATTAATTTATAGGTTTCCAGCAGTTCGGGGAAAAGATCAGCTGAGGATGCCGGTTTGAAATCACCTCCAAGGAAACGGGGAGAAGTAGATGGGAAACGGCACAAACCCGACGGGGATGAGCTACTTCTCTATGAGCGTATTGATGCTCGGTTTAGTACCATGGAGGGTAGAATTGACAACTTTGGTCAAGAATTTAGAGTGGCAATGGGTGATGCTGCTTCTAGAGATAATGAGCTAATGAGCCGGGTTGTGAAAATGGAGAACGAATTTCGGGCTTTTAGAGACGAAATCGGTACTGCAGTGAAGTCCCTTATAGAGGCAGTGAAAGCAACTGTAGGTGATCCGTTGTCAAGGGAGCAGCCTAGGGAACCCATTTCTCCTACAGCTGAGTTGAAAAAGAACGATCAGAAGGGTGAGGTTGAAAAACCTAGGGAACCCATTTCTCCTACCTTGGAATTTGTCAAGACTGCCAAAGTTGAGAATTCGGGAGAAGCTGAGGGGGAAATTGGAGATGAGAGATGTTCTGAATCTCCTTCTGTGAAAGTTGTGAAAAAGTCTCCTTGCAAGCAGCCTAAAGCGTCGCAAGTTGAGAAATTCATATTGTTGAGTGATGAAAGTGTTGCTGCTAATGATGGTTGTTCCAAGGCTGTGAAGGTATTTCACTTGATTAATTTTTCTAATTATTGGTTCTTATGGTGTGGTTACTAATGAACTGGTTTTGTTTTTTTATGTTTTTGAACAAGAAAGGGGCGAAAGGGAGGTGCACTACGTAGTGTGTCTAAATTGAAGCCTAGTTTGTATGTGCTCTCTCCATTCGAACGGGCAAATCCCAGAGCTAAGAAAGCACAACCTTTGTACCGTGCTCCTCCCTTTGTTGTTGAGACACCATTGTCTCTGGAGGCAGTAAAGATGCTTCAATTTGCTTTTAGTAGTGAGCTTCCCGAAAGGTACCTCCCGAAATCATTACAAGTAAAATTGGATCATATTTGTAGGATGTTTTTGGTATTTGCTTATTCTAATGTTGTGTTGTTTGAACTTGGTATTGTATAACAGTGACACATTGGTTAGTGTTGGTGGCGGGGTTCTTTCCTTGTCACGTGAAGATTTTGTCGAGCTTTTGCCAAGGACCAAAATTTCAACAAGGGTAAGTTCATTTATGTGTGTAATTTAGTAGATTGAACGTGTATTGCTGACTTTGGTATATGTGATGATGATGCATTAGATTATAGAAATGGCGTGTCTGTGCAAGACACTAGAAGAACGGAGTTGTGGTCGCACTGGTGGCTTGTCTTGGTTCTTTCCACCTCAAGTTTCGGTACAGTTGTCTGCTTTGTCTATTCTTGTCATGAAATTAATCTATTTT